CTCCTGGTAGACTGAAAGCTCGCAACTAGGCCCTCAGCACACCGCCCCCATCCCCCAGTCGCCTGTCCCCAGCATTTTTCAACAGACAGCCCTACACCACTTTCAGGGTCACGCCCCGCTCAGGATCCTCAATTAACTCGCCGGCATTCCAAGCCCCCTAACCTGGTTTTGCATCCCCCGTGCCTGCTGACCACCCACACGCCACCCTACTAAGCACGCCTGCTCCTGTGCCAACCCTGTTCCCATGCTTTGCTCGGCTCTCCCAGCCTCTATCACAAATCCAAACGCCAGCACTCCCTCCTGGCTCAGCCCGTCCCACCTCTCCGGGGGAGCCCTGCCTGGGGACTCTGACCCATGAGACCCTCCACCCTTCCTGTATCCCACCATGTATCTCATGTATCCCACATCTCACACGCTCTGATGTCCTCACAGGGCCACATGCAAGGACATCAACTAGATTCAAAGTTCCTGGAAGGATAAGCCGGTGCTGGCGACTGAGCAGGTGCCCACAGGATGCTGGACCTGGGGGGAGATGCAGCGGGGGGACCCTCCCTGTCGAGGTGGCTGGGGCACCAGACACCACTGCCCTGGCCTCCGGAATAATCACTGTCCTGCTCGGCACCCTTCATCTATCTTGCTTTTCAAGACTTTACACCCCACACCTAGTGCTATCCCTGGACTTGTTTGAACTCGTCTCTCTTCTTCCCTTTTTTTTTTTTTTTTAACACAGTTGAGCTTCATCTTCTCTTGTCTCAGCCACAACTAACCTACACTTTTTAAAAAAACAAACCATAATTCAAAAAGAGTCATGTACCACAATGTTCACTGCAGCTCTATTTACAATAGCCAGGACGTGGAAACCACCTCAGTGTTCGTTGACAGACGAATGGATAAAGAAGATGTGGCACATATATAGAATGGAATATTACTCAGCCATAAAAAGAAATGCAATTGAGTTATTTGTAGTGAGGTGGATGGACCTAGAGTCTGTCATACAGAGTGAAGTAAGTCAGAAAGAGAAAAACAAATACCGTATGCCAAGACATATATATGGAATCTAAGAGAAAAAAAGGTTCTGATGAACCTAGGGTCAGGACAGGAATAAAGACGCAGATGTAGAGAATGGACCTGAGGACACGGGGAGGGGAAAGGTAAGCTGGGATGAAGGGAGAGAGTGGCATGGACATACAGACACTACCAAATGTGAAATAGATGGCTGGCGGGAAGCAGCCGCACAGCACGGGGAGAGCAGCTCGGCGCTTCGTGACCGCCTACAAGGGTGGGACAGGGAGGGCGGGAGGGAGACGCAAGAGGGAGGGGATATGGGGACGTATGTATGCGTATAGCTGATGCACTTTGTTATACAGCAGAAACTAACACACCACTGTAAAGCAAGTATACTTCCATAGAGAATTTTAAAAATACAAAGAACAAACTCAACCACTCAAAGTTATTCGGTGCCTTTAAGGGCTGCACTGTGCCAGGTGCGGGGATCTGACTCTCCCCCACTGCCATGTCCAGAGCAGCGCCTCTCAATCCTCACCGTGAAAAAGAATCAACGGGAAACCTTTCTAAAATGCAGCGCCAACAAGCTCCCAGGTGATGCTGACACTGCTGGTCTTGGAGTAGCCAAGTCAGAGATTACATTAAAGACAGAGAGCCGGAACTTTCTCATATTCCCAAACTCTGTACAGTTGTCTCCATGTACATAATGGACATTGAGAACAACCTCGCCCATCGCTGGAGACAGACACCATTTATCTTGAGTGGGCCTCATGCAACACCTACTGCGTGCCAGGCACCATGCTTGAGGCTTTCCCTTCCTCATATTTCTGCTTCCTCACAAAGAGACAAGGCAGCCCATTCAGATAGTTAGTGATAAGCCGACTGGCACAGTGCCAGACACAGAGCAAATGCTCGAATTCTAGGCAAATTAATGAATAATTTTTCCTGAAGGACTGTTGTGATCTTATAACTTCCCTTTACAGAAAACTGTGATGGTTTCCTACTAGCTCTGAATCAAATTCACACTCCCAAGTGTGGACTTGGAAAGGTTGCACCAATTGGGGGCAAAATTAGAGACACCCTGGGGGAAAGGGGTTGCAAAATCAAGATCAGAAATCTTTTCCTGGGCTCAAATTGTCTTTTCTAATAGGGATAGAACACAGGTCCGCCTAATCAACATACAACACAGCTGCTCCAGCCACTTATGCTGTCCCTCATGCTGGGAACAGAATGCCTCTCACACTGGATGAGGCCCCTTTCACCAGGCCACGCTGGACTCGCTGTTCAGGCACAGAGCAGCCGGGTGCCGGTCACACCTGCATTCCCTTGCCCGTGAGGACTGCTCCATGCAGTTAAGATGACTGGTTGTGGGCTTCCCTGGTGGCGCAGTGGTTAAGAATCCGCCTGCCAATGCGGGGGACACGGGTTCGAGCCGTGGTCCGGGAAGATCCCGCATGCCCGTGGAGCAACTAAGCCCGCGCGCCACAACTACTGAGCCTGTGCTCTAGAGCCCGTGAGCCACAACTACTGAAGCCTGTGTGCCTAGGGCCCGTGCTCTGCAACAAGAGAAGCCACCGCAATGAGAAGACCGTGCACCACAGCGAAAAGTAGGCCCCGCTCGCCAAAACTAAAGAAAGCCCACGTGGCAATGAAGACCCAATGCAGCACGACCCCCCAAAAAAGTCTTCCTTCTAGAACTTACAATCTCTTAAAAAAAAAAAATGACTGGTTGTGCATTCTAGTGCTTTGGTTATTTGTAATTTTACAACCAAGTAGGACCTCAACGGCCTGGTCACAGGGATCCCAACTGGGACACAGAATACCTAAGCCCATCAGAAGGGGCACTTTCCCCCCACCCCACCCTGTCCAGGACAGAGCCTGGCAGGTGGCAGAAGTGGGATAAACATGGCCTGTGAACTGTCTTGGCAAACGCAGGAGCAGGGCTATAGTCAGTGGTACAGTACAGTTTATTTCTGGTGGGGGTGTGTGTGGCATAGAGGAGTCAGAGATGCCTTTGCTTCAGGAAGTGGCAAAGATGATTCAAAATGTCACATTTCTTTTCCTCCTGAGTCAGGGACCAACTGGCACATGGACTCTATGCTGAGAATGTTCAGGGTGCCTGTTTAAACTCAGCCTTAAAGTCATAGTGTTATTCCTTCTCCTCAATGACAGTTAACAAGAGAAAGGCCTCAATAAATGTACCTCCTTGAGCCGAGCCCCACGAATGCAAACTGGTATTTCCCAAAATGCTAAAAGAGCTTGCTTCTGCCCCCCCCCCCCCCGCCACCACGTCCTGGAAGTTTCTTCCTCTGCTGCTTACCTGTTGTACAGGCGACTGCATAACCCCTGAGGGGTTAATGCCATGCAGCTGGGGCGGACACCTGGGAGGGGTTCCAGCTCTGCCACTTATGAGCTGTGCAAACTGGACCTCTCTGTGCCTCACTTTTCTCATCTTCCTGGCAAGGTGGAGTGAGGATTAGAGAAAATCTATGTAAAGCACCTAGCACATGTCTGGCACACAGGACGGATTCAGCAAGAGGCAGGTGCTTTTAGTACATTAACCATATATATTAACTTACAGCTGAGCTCAAAATCTTTTTATGGAATCCCACGTCTACAGCAACGGTTCTCAAACTCGAGTGTGCGTCGGAATCCCCTGCAGAGGTGGTTAAACGGTGTCTGATATAGTGGGCCTGGGGTGGGGCCCGAGAACATGCATTTCTAACAAGTTCCCAGCTGCGGATGCTGGGTCCAGGGCCCCCCCACCCCGCCCCGTCCACAGGGCAGAGTCCCAACACCCTCCTGAGGTTTGTTCGTGACTAACCAGCACCGCTCCCATCCCCAGCTGCCCTTGGCCTTTCCTGGTCTCTGGCCAGCTCTGGGCCCCGGACAAACGGACAGGACTTGAGTTTCTCCTGTTTGGCTCTGCCTGTCCCACCTCTGCCCCTTCCCCTGCTCACTCTGCCCTCAGACTCATGTCTGTCCCTCCAGGCCCAGACAAGCGCCACCTGCCCAGCTCACCACGGCAACCCTGTGCGCTCCCCTGGCGTCTTGCTCTTGGCAGCTTCAGACCTACTTAACTGCAAGGACTGAAGACGGGGCTGTCTTATTTTCCCTACTAGGTGGGGGACTCTCCAGGGCACAGGCTGTGGGGTAAGTCTGACGTTTTCCAGAGTGTCTTATGGAAGTGGAAGACCAGGGTCCAGAGAATTGAAAGGAAAAAAGGCTGACAGAGAGGTTAAAGGGAGTAGCGTGGATAACCGGAGCAAAGGGGAAGCAGCGGGCTGACGACCTTCAACGAGAGGAACACAGAAATAAAGAGGACGCCGGCCAACTGACCTCTACCCCCATGAAAGAATCCATGTGAGGAAACGGAGTCAAGCTGTGACACAGTATTAGATTCTGCTATAGGGAAGTTCCTGCCACTGGGAATTGTTAAATAATGTACTGGAATAGCAAGGGTGGGTGTGAATAATCTCTACTAGGCTTGAGAAATGGAACAGATTCTCAGTTACCAGGGACGTTTCAGACATGATCCTGTTCTTCTACCTTGGGTACAAAATTGAGAACCCTCGACAGATCTTTTTCCAACTGGATATGAATTTGGCGGCTGTTGGTGCTACTTAAGGATACACTGCTAAGTTAGTTGCTAAGTATGTTCCAAGAAGGAACAAATATTTTTTAAAACTCAGAACCTTAGAAAAGTGGCTCATTTCCCATTCTGGGGGTGGGTAACGAGAACCCAGGCTAGCAAACACTGCAGCGCTAATAGGATTTGTGAGATGGCACACAGTCCACTCTCCCTGCTTGCCAGGTTTAACCATCACATTCACAAAAAGTTAGAGTTCTTCTTCCTCATTTTTAATGGAAAGTCTTCAAATTTCTGGTAGCTGGAGGAAGTGGCTCTTGTACTCTCAACACTGCACAGGAAATGTAATGAGTTATTATTACTCTGATGAACCGAAAGGGTAGTTTTTGCAGTCGGTTCTTCCTACCACTTGGAAATCTGGCAGCTCTCTGACTTTGCTTGGGCCAGACGGACCTCTGTGTCACCTGCTAGCCTAGGACTTTTTGCAGCGGGGAGCAGAAGCGGGGGTGGGCAGAGAGGAAGGGAAACACTCAGCTGAGGCGCTAATAGCCACCAGGAAAAGGTGTCTCATGCAAGCAAAAAGCTTTCGCTGAGCTGTGGGTCCAAGGTAAACACTGCTTCTGCTGGGGGCAGGTGACCTATCTGAGGCCAGCGTGGGAAGACCACGACGCAGGCCACACCAGCTCTGACGCTGGACTCTTTGGGGGGGGGTCACTGACTGCTTATCTCTTTAGTCCTGAGTTTTAAAACTCTGCCTACATCCTGAACCTCTGATTCAAAGACACCTTTAGGTCAGGAAATGGCTCTGAATTCCAGAGCACACAAATTTCCTGCAGAGCCAATGCCTTGGGGCTCTTAGCTTGTTTTTTAACCCCAGTGGGGTCTAAGGACCTTTGCCTCCCAGTAAGATAATCCACAGCAGATGCGATTCCATATCCTAAACTGCGACCTTCTTTATTGTTTGTTTGGGGGAAAAACAATCCTTCTTTACTTGAACCTGCACCTGCTTTGATTCTGATTTGGACTAAGACAGAAGTTTCCTTAATAAACTGTGAAAAAATACAATCAAACGGTCAGCTGTTCTGTTTTGACATCTACCACATTTTTTTTTTAATAATAGGTCCAACCACATCCTTTGCCCTGTATCTTCGGCGCCCAGCACAGCCTGCTGGCTCTGAAATCGCTCCTGCACTACTTTCTCTTGCCACCCTCCTGACCCGATTCAAGCCTGTACCAGCTCTTCCCCAAAGCAGGGGCTGTGGCCTCCTTACCACGCCCTGGACCCCCTCCTCCCCCCAGCGCCATGGCACCCTTCCCCATGACCTCCACATCTGATCACGTCCCTCCCCAGCTCACAATACACGGAGATAAAATCTAAACTGTTTTCCTTGCACATAAGGCCCTTGAGTGCTGGCCCCGCCCCGCGCCTGCCCTTGGAGCCCAGGAACACTGTCCTCTTCAGGGTCGCCTGAAAACGCCGCACTCGGTCTGGTCTCCCCACCGTTCCCACCACCAGGCAGAGCACAAACCAGTCTTGATCCCCTAGCCTACATGCTGCCCCCTTGCCCCTCATTCTGTGCTTTGGACACACACAACCGCACGGTAAGGAAAAGGGGGTATTTTCCGCCGACACTTCCAGTCCGGTTAAAGTGCTCTTGTCCTGGGCGCCCACCACTCTGAAAGCACTCTTGATGGCACGAGTGTCCCACTGCATTCTGTCTGCACGCATCTAGGCCGGGCGCTTCCGGAAGACAAGAGCTATGCCCCAGCTCTGCGTCTCCTTAGCCTGCTGCAGGGCGGCCCACTTGGAGGAGGCGCTCGCTTTGTTGAGCTAAACAAGCACATCTAAGACAAACGCAGTCCTCTTTCTCACTGTTGAGCGCCATGCCCTGGACGTGGCAGCCCACAGAAATTCCAGGCTGGGGGCCGCCGGTGGCGCATAGGACAAAGACAGAGAGCAGGTTAGCACACGTGCACGCAGACGCGCTGAGACGGCTGCCGGGTGATGAGCGGGGCCAGCAGCCGCTGCCCACGAGAGGGAGGGCAGGGCGCCGGGGAGCCCGGCGACAGGGAGGGCAGGGCGCCGGGGAGCCGCGCCCGCCGGGCTCGCGGGCAGGACGCAGCCAGGGCAGAGGAACCCGCTGGGCTGCGCGTAACCAGGCCCGCCGTCCACTCAGTGTTAAACCTCAAAAGCGCACTGAGAACTTCAGACCCACCCGCTCTTCTGTTTTGCTGAAGTCCACTGTCTCTCTCGTGGTTTCTTCAGGCTCGGGGCTTGGGTTTGGGGGGTAGAAAGGAGGAGTTGAGCTTAATCTGTGCTCCTAGCAGTGGGTCCTACAGAAAGCTCCCACGTGGCAGCCAGAGGGAAACACGAAGATTAGGTGCCCAACTTCCTACAAACCAGGTGGAGAATTTACAGGCGCTTGCAGGGAGAATCACCTGGTGCGCGAATCCCACCCACGATGGCTCTGGGGGCCGGGAGGTGGGGTCAGGTATGCTTCCCTTGGGGGCTGGGGGGCGGCCGCTGCAGGGAGACAGCAGCCAGGCCACAGCTGTCCTGGCGGCCACCTGGCCCGGGGGTAGATGCCCTGGGGGGGTGACTCACTTGTACAGAGGGCAACTGTCAGGGCGGGATGCAGATCCACATCCACAGGAGTCCGCCCAGACAGCATCCTCTGGACACACCATGTGGAAAAAAACACCACTATCTTTTTCCATGCGCTTCAAAGATAAGAAAATAGCACGGGGGGAATTTTAATACTGATCTGGCAGAGAAAGTTCACGGGGTACCTTCTTCAAACAATACTCTGTGAAGGAGGCCCTGGTTTGGAACTCCCCTTTTCATGGCCTCATAAAACACTGATTTATTGACCTTCAAAGACATACCTTTATTGTTTCAGTTTTCCTGGCATATGAATTTCTGGTAGATAACTGAAAAAGCAAGCTCATATTTCCTTATCAACACGGAGAATATGTTCATATTACAGATGTGCCATTTTCGGGGGAAGTGGTGGGAAGGAAATAACAGGGAAGGCATTTGAAATATTTATCAACAAAGTGAACGAAAAGGACACTGATCCCCAAGTCTGTGATTCTCCAAACAAAGTAGTAACTTATGGCCAAGTCTTCCCACTAGGATGGGCTGGCAGGGCAGGAAGACAGCCGGGGCAGGGGTGGGCACCTACCTACCCTACAGTCCCAGTCCCACCCAGGGGATTTCCTCTGCGGGGTGTCCCCACAGGCCTTCCAGGGCCCTGCGGCTTATCTGTTTCTGATTAGTCTACATTACCACCTCAACAAGGGCCATACAAGTGTTATCTCAAAAACTATAAATGTTTAATGTCCTGTCTGTCGTGGGGTTTCTTGAATTAAGCTAGCTTTCCAGATAGCTCTGTGGTATCTATAAAGTCATAAACATATGTGGGGTTTCTCTTTTTGGCAAGATTCCTTTAGGCCTAAACCACTGACGCCACCCTCTCAGATAGAAAGCTTTCTTCCCCACAACAGCCTCTTGGGATCATTCCCTCTCTGACCCTTGATTTCCTACCCATCCTCCGAAGACCGCTTCAGAAGCTCCCTCCTCCAAAAGTCCTCCCTGATTCCTCCAACTATACTCCCTCCTTCCCTCCACCACCCTCTGCGCTTCTCGTATCATAGGCTGCATTGTTATTATCACAGCTTCACCTGTCTCGTCCTCTCGACTGGGCTGTGACCTGTGAAGACTCAGCTATGTCTTCGCCTTGTTTCTCACCAGCACAAGGTTTTACATCCCAAATATGTTTGCTGGCCTGGGTACGAGTGAATCTGCCCTTAGGTCTTGGATATCTAGGGATAAACATGACTGTGTGATCAATTACCTCAATGAAAACAGCCTGCTCCTAGAGTTTCTTACTTGGAATAAACAGCAGAACTATCAACATAAAAATTTTAAATGTTCTTTTCTGTAGGCAAATACTCTTCTTATGTCTGAACTCAGATTCCCTCACACAGGCACAGAGAGATATAAGCACAGAGATGTTTTAAAAGGCAAAACTTACAGCCCCCCCAGGTAAGTTTAAATCGATTTAATATAATGTAAATGAAGCTAAATACAATACTTGCAGATAAAGCACTTTCCAGAAGCTGTTTTTGCCAACTATTTTACAAAACCAATACCTCCTCCATCCTCCACACTCAGCAGTTCTTTAAGCCTTGCCCAGTGTGTGATAACTAATCGCCAGTGCAATTCCTTTCTTTGAACTAATAGATCAGGTTGGCCAAAGGAGCAGTAATTGAACAGAGTGCTTGTAACCACAGTATCTTTGGGGGATAATACTACAACATTACATCTAGCTCCACCTTTCAGAATTAATAGATTTCCACTGGGGAGACTGGGCACAAACTTATATCATTTGATTAGAGCCATCCCAATATCATTTGATTGTTTCCTGTTTAGGTATGATTTAAAAACGCACATAATATAAGTAGCCAAAAGGGAAAGTGGGGGGGGGGGGGATAGCACTTGCTGAAAGATAGCTCTGAGAAATAAATGTTTTGTTAGCAAATGAGTTCATGTTAGAACGTACTGCATTTTACACATATATGTACATATGTAGTTTTTGCAATAACACTGAGATGCTTTTTTTTTTTTTTTTGCGGTATGCGGGCCTCTCATTGTTGTGGCCTCTCCCGTTGCGGAGCACAGGCTCCGGATGCGCAGGCTCAGTGGCCATGGCTCACGGGCCCAGCCGCTCCGCGGCATGTGGGATCTTCCCGGACCGGGGCACGAACCCGTGTCCCCTGCGTCGGCAGGCCGACTCTCAACCACTGCGCCACCAGCGAAGCCCCAAGATGCTTTTTTTTAAAACTGTGTAGTGAGCAGGTCTTTCTCAGGTGGCTAGCTGTTCACTGGAGCCCTAGTCCCGTGGTTCAAATAAGGCAGCGCCCTGTCCAACCTGTTGAACACTTAATTAAGCAACACCTGAAGTGTTTAAAATGAAAAATTCCAGCAGGCTTTTCCGCCTTCTTTGCCCTCAACCATTCCTAGAGACTCATACAAGTAGAAACGAAATAGACTGAATCTTCCTGAGAATCGTCTGCTCCAGCCTTATAGCACGTTCCTGTTATTTCTGTCAAGGCTCTAATCCCAGGCTGGCTTCCCCCTCTCTCCTCACTCCAAACACAGTTCTCCAAGTGCTGTTCCCCTTGTCTTCTTGGGGTTTCGAGCTGTTCCCCCGAAAGCTGTTAACAAGAGCCTAAGCCAATCTTTACAGAGAAGGGAAATCTGAAACTGCTGAAACCCAGAAAACCACCAATATTTACCCTTCCCTACAAGGCTTTCATAGTGTTTGCGGTGCTGGACTTCCTACACTACAGCCCTCCTCCGGGGAGGGCAGAAAACCAGTAACTGGTTTTATTTATTTGGCAACTGTACCGAGTGATCTTGTAAAGAAATCTCTTCTGAGAGGACTTGGGGTGGGGAGGACAACAGGACATAGGAAGATGCTCTTGTTCTGGCACCCCCAGACCTCTTCACGCCCTTTATAAGCCCTGTGGGCCGCCAGGGGAGCCCCGGGTGCCTCCTGGGTTGGGAGCCCCAGCAGGGCCTGGCCCCAGTGAGACTAACCACGGCCCGCTGTGCCCGCCGGCCCGTCCCAGTCCCATCCCGGCTGAGCGCACGGAGGACAGGGCTGTTTCTGGCTCCCCTACTGGCTTGAAGCACCCCAAGTACCTTGGTGTCTCCAACTGTGAACACTATTTTGTCCTAGCATCATCAGAGAGGTTCTGAGAACAAGTGATTCTACGTCATTCTGGGCCAGAACCTGAGCCGGTGGACCTTAAACTGTAGGGAGGAGTCGGAGGGGAGAAGGGAGACATAAAAAAGAGGGGAGCGTAGGAAAGAAATCTGATGTCAGCCTTCCTGAAGAAACTACCAAATCCTGTTTCACCACACGCCCGGGAGGCGAGCATCGCTCTAGTCTTCAGACTACCAGCGAAGCTGAGGTGGGGAGAGCGTGTGAAGCCCAGTTAGAGGGAAGGACCGAGAGCTCCGGCGGGTCCAAAATGGCCCGAAAGGAGAAATCATATGTGGGATGGTTACTTAACGTGGGCACTGTCCGCGGCTCCGAATTTTTCCCTCGCTGCTTCTCCTGTTCGCGGGGGAAGGGTCTGTGTCCACGCCGCTGCCTCCGCAGCAGCTACACTGCGGGGGCACCTCGCAGACGCTCCAGAAATGTTTAGAGAATAAACTGCACCACCAAAGCCTGCCACTAAGTGGGACTTTTGGAAGCGCCCGTGTCCGGGTGCTGGGGTCCCGCAACCCCCCATTCTGCACCCCAGTTCCCCTCCACTCGCCCGTTCCCTCCTTCCACCGTCCAACACGCAGCCCTCCAGCTCTCCGCCCTCTCCGCCCCCAAATCCTCAGCTCCTGCGGCTCCGTCGAGGTCTCGTGACGTCTGGCAGCCGCCGCGCCGCGTCCTTCCCCAGCTCCCGCGAAGTCGTCGGGCGCGGGACCCGACGCGCGGGGAACGGGAGCCGGGGCGGCCCCCCTTACCTGCAGCCGGCCGAACAGCGCGCAGAGCGCAAGCAGCGCGGGCAGCGGGCGGCGCCGCCGGGCGCGCGGGGCCATAGCGCGGATGGGCGGGTTGGGCGGGCTGGGCGGCCCGCTCTGCGGCCTCTGCTGCCCAGGCGGCGTGGCAGCCCGGGGCCTCAGGGTCGGTCCTCCCCGCCGCCTCC